AAAGATGTTACTAAGTACTTAAAACCTCAGAATTATCTAGTTTTTTAAAGCTATCTCAATGACTACTCACTTTTCTATCCTCAAACATAACATTTAAAATAAATAATAAACTTGACTTTCTTGCACAATTTGCAACTCACTCATCTATGAGTAAAGTGAGAGATGAAAGTATAGAACTTCTAAATCAAGCCTAGAGGAGAAGAGATTTTTCTTATTGAACCTTTGTGAGAAAAGAGTTTCTAAAATGACCACACTTGATTTTATATAAGTCACTGTAGTAAAACATTTATAGCTCAATAAAAAAAAAGAAGAGAGACAAGCCTATTTGCTAAAGCATGGATAGTAAGTGCAAAATTACCCCCCCCTAATATGGAGAAGAATAAATAAAAACAATGTATAAAGCCAAAAATAAGCAGTAAAAGGATGGCATTAAACCATAAAAATTAAAAGGCATAGTCAAAGGTGGTTATGTAAGTTGGGAATGACGAATTAAATGTAAATTCAAAGATTTGTTATTTACAAATATGGTACCATGAAGAAACTAAAGTATATAAATGTTCATATTAGACCACATGCAAGTAGAAAATTTATGAAGGGAGAAGCCTTAACAAGTGAAAGGGTGGAATCCCCTCGATGTTTCAAAGGCAAATTTGAGTATCTAAGGCATTTTGTGTGGGGAGTCACATTAAGGATTTTATATGGGGAATCACATTAAATATTTTGTATGAGGAGTCATGCCAAAAATTTTATATGATACCATTTATAAATGCATATATAGAGGTTGGGTTAGAGTCCCAACTATTTAATACTTAAAGGGCACTAAAGCGTAGTTATAATTTAGGATATAAGAACACTCATTTTTTGGTGGTTATATACTTTTAACAAGGAAGTTGGTGGGAGATGCCTTAAAGTTGTAATTCATAGTTAATATGTTTAATATGAAAACTTGATATATTTAACTTGAATACTTTAGTGCAAGTGGCACAAATGATGTGGTGAATGGGATAAGGATATCCAATCTCAATTGCTATAGGCCAAATAAGCTAGCTTGGGCGTATTACCAAATGTGGGGGATATCCCTAGGTCAACAACTTAAAAGTTGAATAAACATAATATTTATTGGTAAATATATTGAAGTTTTTATTTGGGATCACTAAGTGATCTTATGGCTAGTCAAGGATAAGCTCTTTATTGTGTTTAAGAAAAAGACTTTTAGTTCAAATTAATGATTTTAATAAATGGTATAGTGTAACTAGGTTAAGGTAATTGAGTGGGAAAGACATTTAAGATGAGATGGTTAGGTACAATATAATGATATTATGAATTCAAGAAAATAGTCTCTAAAAGAAGGACTTATAAAGGTTAAGAGATTAGGCAATAAATAAGGCCCACTATAATAAATGTTGGTAAGACTTATGAAAAAGTGAATACCCTATAGACTTAAAAAATTAAAGTCTTTGTTATGGAATAATAAAACATCCTAAATATATTCTGGTGTAAATAACCAAAGGATAGGAGTAAAAAATTAATAGCCAAGAATAACTTAGTAAAATGTTGAAACAAATCTAAATGATAAGTTAGGTGAGAAACCATTAAAGGGTGGTTGCTAATGAATATATGAGAAAAGTCATAAGGTTCCAAAGGAAAGAAAGCCTTAATGCTCCAAGTTGGTGAAAAGTGAAAGTTTTAAAAAATAGAATAGCAATGTAGTTAGATGGTAGAGCTATGAGCAACCCTAGTATAAATTATAGATCTAAAAAGTGATAATACCTAACAAACAAGTAAAAGTATAAGATTAAGAGATTCTAAGATAAATCCCAATTATGTGAAAGAGGGTAGATGCAATCAATTTTGGAAGATAGCTATGAGAACACCATAGGTGATAGAGTTGTATTATGGATATTCTAAAAGAGAAAACTCTATAGAAAGTTCTACTATATGATAGGTGGAACTTAGTGCCTAAGTTAACATAGAATAAAAGAAAGAATGATAGTGTACTTAAATAAAAAAAACTCTCTAAAATGAGGAAGTAAAGTGCACACCATAATAATATGTATGGAAATGTGTCAAAGACATTTAAAAAATTGACACAAGGAGTCAATATTAAAGTTCTAAGAGGCAAATCCTCATATTGATATAATCTGAAACTACTTCAAAGTGAGTAGTAAGGTTGAGATGGAAAAAGGACCTTTAGTGGGTTTAGTGAGATCTAACCAAGAAAAGAGAGGGAACCTTTATAAGTGAGGCATTGAGTCTATAAGTTGGGGGTGCAAGATATGTAAAGTATAATGAACCTTTGGTGTTAAAGTATTGCTTGATGCCAAAGGTAAAATGGTAATCCATGATAAAGTTAGTTAAGAAAAAAAGTTATTATTCAATAAGGACATCAAACTTTGTCAATGTGTGGTGAAGTTGTAAGACACAAATCCTTAAGTTTCAAAATAAAATCAAAAGTTGGTTACATGGCAGTGGCTAGAGCAAAAATTCAACAAGTGTTTAGACATCTAAATAGAAATTTACAAATTAGTATTATAAATAGCTATAAATCCTTCATTATTTACACACAAGACACAATGAGCATTTAGAAAGTATTTTTCTAAATATTTTATGCTTGCAAGTATCCTAGTAAATATTTTATTCTTCAACTTACTCAACATTTAATTTCATCCTTTAACAATAAGTTTATCAATTTAATTGAAGTTATACAAAAATAGTAATTTCAAATAAAACTTATTTGTATATCCTGACTTTTACATTAAACTATAATTAATTAATTTAAGCAAGGAGTGTTTAAAGCAAAGCACCAGCATAAATTAGGATTGAATTGTATGCAATAATTGATTAAAGGTGCTAGGGCAAGATTGAGGATGACTGTACCATCTTAATTCACTTGTAATTCGGTATTTCTTTAGTAGGAATATTGTATAGAAAATCTATTGCAAAGCAAAGAGATTTTATAAGTTATAAGGTAAGTTCTAGATATAAATTTGAAAGCTAAAAAAAAAACTTTCTTCTTTGTTTTCAACTGATGGAGCTACAGTAGCTAATTTCTACTGATTAATAAAGCACGTAACTCTTAAATTTTGATAACTAAAGGTTCTAGTATGCAAATAGTTGCAAGGACCTTGATAAAAAATGAAAGACAAAGACAAGGTGTAAAGACGATTTAGTTTTTTATTAATTTTTGCAATTTTTTTTAACTCCACTTCCTTTCATTCCTCATAATCTGAAAAGTTTAAAGATTAATTTTTATAATATAGAATTACTTACTAATGATTACTTAAGAAGTGACATATTCTCATTCTTCTTTCAATTTCAGAATTATCTAATTATAAAACCATCTGTAGGGTATGTTCCCTCATGGGTATCTATTCAATTTACCTGAGAGCATTATTACTGATGCAAATTACACAGCTATTATTGTGGGGTTACATAAAAATGTAAGCAATATTTAAATTTTTTTTTTCTCATCCCATCACCATGGTTGTAAATTATACTATGAATTCACACTAGCACAAAACTGCCACACATGTCGATGAACTCTTACTATATGAAGGAATTCATAACAGTATTTTATGTGGGGGTTATTAAATGATATTTAAGTTTAATTAGTTTTAGACCTCCAAATAGAAATTTGTAAATTAGTATCATAAACAGCTATAAATCCTTCATTATTTACACACAAAGAAAACGTGACCCAAATATTTTTCCAATACAAATTATAGGACCATACAAGTTTGAAATATTTATCATAAATTACTAAATTACCATCTTTTTGTAAGTGAAGAAAACATTTAATTCCTTTACCATTAGTTTTGGTATCCCAGATATTAATGTTTTTAAAATAAAGCACTAAGTTACAATCAGATTGCATAATCAAAATAAAAAACATATTAGGTGATTGCAAAAATTCTCCAGTATACAATTTTGAAAAATAAGTATAATGTGGTCCACTTTTAATACAAGTTTTATGAATGTCACAATCTGATATTAATTTTTCTTGATGATAATTATTAAAAACTGGGACTATAGTACTAAATTCATTTAATTCAAAATCTACAGTATATGATATTGAATACCGAGAAGCTATATACTTTACAGAGCTATAAGTTATAAAATCATTTATAACATATGTATCTAATATATGATTAAATTCACGTTGTAAAGCTGTTCCACTATTTAGATTATACAAAAAAGGAATAATACTACAAAGATAAATATAATATTTTCTATTTTCTTGTATATCATAAGCTTCTATTAAAACTATTAAACTCTTTTTTTCTTCATATAACACTCTAGAAAATGAAAATCCCAAGAATATTTCTTTACGTTTTCCTACTTCTTGAATAAGATTTTTTATGATAGGTATTATAACATTTTGTCTATATTCAATTGTTATACCTTCTTTTGGTCCTTCATAATATTTTCTTATACATTCAATAGATTGCATGATTAAAATTATTAAAACAAATATTTTATTAAGAAACATAGTTTAAGAAAGTTAATAAATTTAAGCTTCTAGAGTTTGGAAAACAATATAGCAAGAATGTTTTTTAAATATTTTTTCTGTATACTGTTTCTTATTTTATTAAGTATTTTGTATTTTAAATGTCTTTTAAGTAGAATGGTTGTTAGGAAGCTATGCTTAGACATATGGCAATATATGCCTACCTATATGCCTATATATATATATATATATATATATATATATATATATATATATATATATATATATATATATATATATTGCCATATAAAGTTTGTATTTAAGAATAGTGTCTTAATATAGTAGATCGATATTCAATTGTGCCTTTGAAATTTGAGGTTATTAGCAACTCTTTTATTGCTATTTCAAAGGTTGCTCAGTGTGACACCATGTTTTTATTGAAAGGGGCTTGAAAGTCATCATCTGTGTGTCTAAAAGGCCTAAAATCTTTATTTTGTTAAAATTATTTGATACACCATAAAATTTAAAACGCTCGCCAAAAAATAAGTAGCCCTAAAGTTCTATTTCTCCTCATCATGCTGAGGCTACGCGCGTTCCGCCCCAGCAACGACAAGATCGTGAAGATCCAATTCCATCCCACGCAGCCCTGGCTCGCAGCTGCCGATGGATCCGACGCCGTCGTCGTCTGGGACTGGGAGAATCGTCAGGTGAGCTGCTCCTGCTCGGGAAATCTCACAGATCTGGGGTTTTAGGTCCTGTATGAGCTCAATGCCGGGGGTGTGGACGCCAAGCGCCTTGTCGGAGCACAGCTCCAGAAGCTTGCGGAGGGAGAGTCGGGTAAATATTTTAGGATGCTCTCGCATTTTCTGCTGCTCTTGATCCATTCTATCCTCTCTTCATAGAGTCCAAATCCAAGCCTACCGAGGCGATTCGTGGAGGAAGGTACCCAAGTCTGTGACCAGCTTACACTTGGTTCTAATGGTGTTCTCCTTTATTTCCTTGGCAGTGTGAAGCACCTCAGATTTTACGATGACGATGTCCGCTTCTGGCAATGGTGGATCAGTCGAACAGCAGCAGTGGACGCTCAATCCTCTCCAGCACAGTTTTCTCCACCCGGTTCTTCGGGTAGTTCTGGCTCCACTCGAGGCCGGCGCTTCCTTGTTATCTGCTGCGAGAACAAAGCCATCTTCTTGGATCTGGTCACAATGCGTGCTCGAGACGTTCCCAAACAACTCCTGGAAAACAAAGCTCCTCTTTGGTATGGCTTCAAGTTTCAGTTCTTTTTATCTAGTGTCGTTTTGGGATGACAGTGTCGAGTTTCTTCCACGCTTTACTTCTGGAGATGGCACTTTTGCGGCATTTGGTGGCTCCGACGGAAATATTCGCCTTCTGTCTCTTACAAATTGGCAGGTTCTCGGACTATAGTTACTTCGTATCGTTGTCATGTTGTAGTTTCGTTTGTTTTTCAGATGGCTCAAAAGTATATTGGCGGCCACAAGGGATCAGTCGTGTGTCTGATGACTTTTATGACGTCTAGTGGGGAGGTATGTTAAGAGCTCTTGTATTTATACCGAGCTTAGTGTAACTCTCTGAATTTCCAGACGCTTTTGGTGTCTGGGGCTACCGATGGTTTTATTGTTGTATGGAATGGCGACAATCCTCTGGCATTACGAGAAATTTCTCCAAAGCTGTCGTTGAAGGTAGTCCCTTGGAGCTTATTGTTCATTCCTGAATATTACATGTTCCCTCTACAGGCTCACGATGGTGGTGTGCACGGTATGGAAATGGCAAAAATACAAGGGGGACCTCCTCAACTTATAACCATAGGTGCTGACAAAACATTGGCCATCTGGGATACCACTTCTTTCAAGGTAAGAACGGTTGCTCTTGGAAATTAATTTTCAAGTTATTGCTGCAGGAACTAAGAAGAATCAAGCCCATTCCAAAAGTTGCGTGTCAAAGTGTTGCCTCCTGGTGCCATCCTCGTGCCCCCAACGTGGACATCCTGACTTGTGTGAAGGACTCACATATTTGGTACGTGCTTTTGGTATGTCTATTGGTCTACAAAGTTTTTGCTTCTGCAGGGCTATTGAGCATGCAACTTACATGGCCATGACACGACCATTATGTGACTTGAGCTTACAAGTTCCCTCTGCCTTTATAGCAGCTACCAAGAAACTTAAGGTTTTCCTTGTGATGGTCTTGTGTTTACGTTCTTACGATGAATTATTTGCTTTCTGGCAGGCATATTGCATGACAGTACACCCGTTGCAACCCCATTTCGTTGCAACAGGAACAAACATTGGAGTCATTCTGAGCGAATTTGATGCGAAATCAATACCACCAGCGGCTGCCTTGCTACCCGTGCCTGGAAGCAAGGAACATTCTGTTGTATATACTGCTGAGAAGGACCTCAACCTGCTTTCTTTTCAACTCTCATCTCCTGCAACAGACGGACGGCCGAGGACAGACATCGGGGAGGCACCTCAGATACTCAAACAAGTGAGGACCAGAGTTTGCCCCGTGCCTCATGAGACCTTTTCACAACTTAGTATAAGCAGTTCTGGGAAGTACGTGCTCTAATACTTTTGTAGGATTGCTAACATGCTCTTGTTGCAGGTTTGTTTCGGTTGTGTGGCCAGATGTGCCATATTTCGCCGTCTACAGAGTGAGTGACTGGGCGATGATAGACTCGGGTCAAGCAAGGTTTTTTGCATGGGACTCGTGCAAAGAAAGATACGCACTTGTGGAAGCTGTTGCAGCCCCCAGAATACTTCCTCTGGGAAAAGGTGGATCATCAAAGAAGGCTAAAGAAGCAGCTGCGCAGGCGGCCGCTGCTGCCGCTGCTGCAGCAAGTGCAGCAGCTGCTGCTACAGTTGAGATACGAATTTTGCTGGACGATGGAAGCCCAAACCTCCTAACGAAGAGCCTGGAAGGGAGACCCGAACAGGTATTGTATGCACGTCGAGCTCGTAAAACTCAATTGCCTTTTTTTGAATTTCAAGGTTATCGGACTTCAAGGAGGTGCATTATTGGGTGTAGCCTATAAGCTCCCTCGGATGTCAATCGTTCCTAGCTCATCGACATTTTCTACCCTTGAGGATATGGGAAGGACAACGATCGCAGAAACTTCTGCAAATTTCGTGCTTTACAGGTACTGGTTGCAGTGTTAGTATTTAGTTAGTATAACAATGCAACACTCTTTTCAGCTGGGAGACGTTCAAGCCTATCAGCGGCATGCTCCCTCAGCCTGAGTGGTCTGCTTGGGATCAAACTGTGGAGTATTGCGCTCTTGCATATCAACGTCACGTTGTTATTTCGTCTCTACGTCCTCAGTATCGCTATCTCGGTAATGTAGCAATTGCAGGCGCCACTGGTGGTGTATGGCATCGTCGGCAACTTTTTATTGCTACACCAACAACTATCGAGTCAGTTTGTGTTTTCTATGAATGCACATCTGATTTTTACTGTTTTTTTTATCGTGCAGGTGTGTGTTCGTCGATGCGGGAGTAAGTGCCATTGATGTTGAAAGAATGAAGAGGAAGGAAGAGATGAAAAATCGTGCAGCTCAGGGAGCCTCCACGGCAGAGCACGGGGAACTTGCTTTGTTGACAGTGGACGCTCCAAAATCTTCATCACAGGATCGAATTGCTCTTCGACCACCTATGTTACAGGTACGTTGATTGTTGGCCTAAGTTGCTCGTTAAATTTATTTCTGTTGCAGGTTGTCCGACTTGCTTCATTCCACACTGCTCCTTCGATTGCACCGTTTGTATTTACCAAGCACACCAAAGGGGAGGTCGAGGCCACCGGCAGCCAAAAGGATTTGGAAGACAAGAAAGTTGCAGACGTTGCGATAGGCGGAGGCGGCGTCGCTGTAGCCGTATCCAGATTACCTATAGAGCAGAAGCGTCCTGTAGGACCTCTGGTGGTGGTGGGAGTCCGAGATGGCGTCCTTTGGATTGTTGACAGGTAACTGGATTGCATACATTTAACGGAGCGTAACTTGAGTGTGGACGTGCACTTGTCCTACAGGTTCATGGTTGCCCACGCGATATGGCTTAGTCATCCTGGTATCCGCTGCCGATGTCTTGCTGCTCACGGAGACGCTGTTAGCGCTGTGAAATGGTACGTTTTTCTGCATGATAGTACTTACTTTACCGGCATTTTATGTTTGCAGGGCTTTCAGGCTTGGACGAGAGCACCATGACGACCTTGCTCAATTTATGCTAGGCATGGGATATGCTACTGAAGCTTTACATCTGCCGGGCATTTCGAAGAGGTTTATCACTTACATTTTGGTTCTTTTGTTGAGTGAGTTCCTGTTCTGTAGGCTGGAGTATGAGCTCGCGATGCAGAGTGGGGATTTAAAGAGAGCTTTGCAATGCCTCGTCACGCTAAGCAATAGCAAAACTCTTGGACAAGAAGCTGATGCAGTCAGTCTCGCCTTGACAACGAAGGAGAAAACAAGCGACGCTTTACAAGGCATTGTGAAGTTCTCTAAGGAGTTTCTTGAGCTGGTAGATGCCGCCGATGCCACCGCACAATCTGAGATCTCAACTGAAGCGCTGAAGAAGCTGGCAGTGGCTGGTGCGGTCGAAGGTGCTCTAGATCCTACCGTTCTTCGAGCACTGTCTCTGAGGCTTGCTGCACACGGAGAGATGACCCGTTTAGCGGTAAAGCTTTATACTTCTTTTCGGTTTTATTGCTCGATATCTGATCGCCTTGCCAATGCAGCTACTGGTGAACAGCATGATGGGAGCAGGCCATGGTCGGGAAGCAGCCATTGCAGCCGCACTTCTAGGAGATCCTGCTATATCAGAAAAGGCATGGCAAGAGACGGGCATGATCGCAGAAGCGACACTTCACGCATATGTAAGTAACTTCCTCCAACAAATTCAAAATGTCTTATGGTTTCATTCACAGGCTCACGGAAGGCCGTCCTTGAAGTCACTGCTTGAGCGCTGGAACCGCATGCTACAACTGGAGCAGGAGATACGCCCGACCGAGCTGCTCTCCATGGAGAAGGAAGCGGTGCTGGAAAACCTGGCAGAGCCGACGAAGAAGGCAGCAATTGAGATTGTTCCGCCGGGTCTTGTGGCTTCGACGCAGCAAAAGAAAGCAGCACCATCAACAGCGGCAGCAGCGGCAACTCCGGTTCTCATGTTGGAGGCTCCTCCTCTCCGTGCTCCAGCTCCACAAACGGTTGCAAGTTAAAGGTCCGACGTGACAGCAGCAGGGAATCGACGACAGGAACCACTTCTCCAAGTTTTCAGGGTCTTCGTGCCTTTGGAGCATGACAACGAGTGTGCCAAGTGGCGGAGGTGCATGGTTTTAGGGTGTCAGACGAAAGGACAGGTCACCGCTATGAGCAGGAGGACAATGCTTCACGCGGCAGTGATGCGGTATCTTTCCAACGTCACAAGCGGTGCCAGTTCTCCGTCGCCCTCTTCTATCTCCGGTAGTTTTCGCAAGAGCTCGAGATCATTGGCCGGGCTTCCGGGTTCCAGTCCACGGGTGTTGGGTGCCAGCTCTGGATTGTCTACTGTCAGTCCTTGGAGTTTTGGATTACTGGGCATTGAGCAGCGGAGGCATTTTGCGGCTTCTTCAGCTCCCGACACTCCTGCTGCCAGTGATCCCGAGGTTCCGGCGAGTGTGATCAGTAGTACCAGCAAAGAGTTGTGGGAAAGCGTGAAGGAGATGAGCGCTGAGGCGTCCAACTACACAAAGCAGACGGTGATCCCCAGCTTGCAGCAGTGGCTGGATCCAACGTCTCCCTACACAATGCAAGGCTTGATTCCTACCACCCTCGCGCTGGCCTCGTGCGCAGCGGCATGGCTTGTGCTCCCGAGAGTTCTTCGTCGGCTCCACAAGTACGTGGAGGAAGGGCCTACGACTAGTTTGCTTGGAAAGTCGGAGAAACACCCGTATGAGATGAGTATGTGGGCAGCATTGGAAGATCCAACGCGCCTTTTCCTCACGCTCGTAGCCTTCTCTCAGCTGTAAGTTGTTTTCTTTTGCTTGATCTTGTTGAGGGACTCGAGTTTTTCGCTTCAGGGGAGCCCTGGTCGCACCGACCACCGTCGTATCCCATTTGGAACTGGCGTGGCGAGGTGGACTATTGCTCAGCGGGCTGTGGTTCCTCCACAGATGGAAGAGTGTATTTTTCTCTCGCCTCCTCGTCGGAAAGGCGTCTAGCAAGGAGGAGCTAGAGCGTTATCTGGTCTTGGACAAGGTTTCATCGATTGGTATAATTGTGCTGGGAGCCATGGCTCTGGCTGAGGCATCTGGCGTTCCCCTCCAATCTGTTCTCACCGTCGGAGGGATTGGAGGTGAGTTATTACTACTATAATTCTTTCCTCGTTTCTATGCCAACCTTCTAACTCAAGTTTCCTGTGACACGCAGGTATAGCAACAGCATTCGCAGCCCGTGACGTTCTTGGAAATGCACTGAGTGGTATAATTCTCCAGTTCATCAAGCCATTCTCCGTGGGGGATTATATCACCGTAAGTTGCACTCTTTTTGGCTCCGTTTCTTGTAACACGAGAGCTCCTTGCAGGCTGGAAACATCGACGGACAGATCGTCAAGATGGGACTCCATTCGACAACGCTGTTGAACACAGACAAGATTCCCATGATGGTTCCAAACTCGTTCTTCTCCAGCCAGGTTTGTTTCTCTGCCTGTTGGTTCGCTAAACAATACTGGCCTTCTTCTAGGTGATTGTCAACAAGTCTCGCTGTCCAAAGCAGGCAATTAAGTCGCGGATTTACATCCGGTGCTCGGACATCGACAAGGTTCCCGTGATCACAGACGAGGTCGTAGAGCTCCTCAAGACTCATCCCAAGATCTTGTCCGAGCAGGATAGCCCTCTTTGCTACCTCTCCAAGACGGCCCCGACTCATCTCGAGCTCACATTCTCTTGCGACATCCAATCTCTGGTTAGTGAGCCAACTCAAATGATCTCCTTGCCCAAGCTTCTAGTTGACATTCTTGTTTCCTTGCTGGCAGAACAAACGCGAAGTGTTGGCCCTGGAGCAGGAACTTCTGGTGAGAGCAGCAGAGGTGGTCCGAAAATCTGGTGCCGCTCTTGGAGCTCCCGCTTAAAAAGGTAGCCTTTCAATCTTCTTCCACCCGAATCAATGCCTCATATTCCTGCTGCTCGTTTTGGTTTTCACCATCGATTTGATGGATTGTAAGTACAAACGTTTGAAGGTTTTGTTTGCTCCATGGTCAAAGATGAAACAGCTCCTTGTCACGCGATGTTCTTCCTGTTTGAAACAATATAGGAGTCCCTCCTTGTCCTCGTGTCCGCCATCGTCTAAATCAACGAGTATGAGATCGCGGTTGGCGAACTACAGCCAAATGGCCTCGTGAGACAAAAGCATACTTATTCATGCAACCAAAAGAAAGGAACTTAAACATCAAGACAACGATTTGAGCCAAATGGTAAATTGCAGTTTAATGAAAGTTCTACTTTTAAAAGCCTAAACCTTGGACGTGAAGAAAATAGAATGAAATAATCCAATGCCACGGGACACCTCCCGTGGCCTCCACTACAATAGCCACGGCATCTTCCCAATCCTGGGAATCTAAATCATAGAAGCGATTTGTCAACGCTTGTGGAAAATAAATTCTCGTACATGGCAAGCCAGCGAGGGCAAGGCATGTAGCAGAACCATTGCCTGTCAATTCATTGTTTTCTTATAGATTGTGTCATCTGAGATTTTTCACAAGTCCATAGTCCCTTGCTAGTTTTCACAAACCACACAGTTTGTCACAGTTGTGTTTTGGAACTCAAGAAGAATTTTCAACTTTTCATATTACAATCAGGATTACATCAAAACTAGCAAGAGTAACCCCCTGTTCCTGGATTTACATGGAGCTCCAGAACAAAAGACGTTTGTGTAACTAAGCTTGTAAGATGATTTTCTGACACTAGACTATCGAAGTCCAGGACAAACCTGTCCGGCAAGCGACCTGCGATCGGCTGCTGCTGTGAGTATAGCAAAAACTCGTAGGTGTGTTGTATGAGATCGTGCGGAGACGGCCTCACGTACATCTCAAAGGGATCCCCGTTAAGAAAGCGCGTCCCTGGAATGTTGCCAACCCAGTAGTGAACGTAAGTCTCCTGCGGAGCGCCAGGGAATCTGGACGCTTGGCGATCGATCATTAGAAGCGAGTAGAGATTGTCTTGATCAGATTGTCCAGTGATTTGAATTCGTGGTGTGCTTGCTGTTTGCTGGCAAGTGAGAGATTTCCCTTGGGTGACCTCAATTCCTCCATAACTTATGTCCAAACTTTGAGACAAAACTATAGATTGACAGAAAACTGTAAGCACACTCGATCGAAACAAATTCATTTACCTGTAGTGACAGAAACGAGGAAGAAGAAAAAGACCACAACTAATGAGTCCATGAGCTACAAAACAAAAATAATGAGATTTTGCTGACTTGGCATTTTAGATTAGATTAGCTTTGTTGCTCTATAAATATAAAATTTAAAAGGCTTAGATTAGGCTGAATCTCCATTTTCATTCTGTTCATGAGACAAGCAGCTCAGACCCCACGGGCGCATTTTCCTTAATCTTGCAGCATTAAAGAACCATCAGAACCATCAAACAAGGTGGAGAACACAAATGGTTTATTTGTTGCTGCGCGATCTGGAGGCCTGGTTTCCCGCATCGGCTGTTCGGGAGCTAGCGTTGTAATCATCCAATAAGTCTAGAAACCTGGAGATCAGTGCAGACTCTGAAGTTTCTTTGATCCGATTGTTACAATCAGACTCATTTTGCGAAAAAACTTGTTGACAAATTCTCGCACGATCTGTTGCATTCTGGAGAACTTCATGGTTGGCAAGGAGGATTTTCTTTCCTTCCCAATAGCATTTAGAGTACAAGTGAATATCCTACAACAACAAAGAATCAAAGTTAATGGCAACCGTTGACCGGTCGCAGACCGGCGTCGTCAGCACTGGACGACCGCGCACACGGCACCGTTCCTCATGTCGGGCAAATGCGGCGCCTTGGACCACTCTTGCCCGCGCGTGTCGTAGACGAGCACCAGCCCCTCGCGGAGCCCCCGCGGGTTCCTCCCGCCGCGGCGCAGCAGATCGTCGATGCAGCCCCCGACCTGGATGATGTGCACAGCGCTGCCCACCGTGACGCACGAAAACTTGAGCAGGTTGTCGATCCTCAGCGGCGACGGTATGGGCGGCAGATTGATCCGGCTCCACGCCTGGCCGCGCGTGTCATACCGCCAGAAGGAGAGCTCCACGGCGTGGCTGGAGAGCATGTAGATGCAAGACCCGACCACGGTGCACGAGATCACGCAGCCGCCCCCGATCGGCAGCGGGCGCGACTTGAGCCACGCGTTGACCCGGGGGTCAAAGCAGTCCATGGAGCTGAGGTAGGCGTACGGACGCCTGATGCCGCCGATGACGTAGAAGATGCCGTCCACGGCGGCGCCGATGCAGCCGTAGCGCCGGTGCCGCATGTCCGGGAGCCGCCGCCACGTGTCCAGCTCGGGGTCGTACACCTCGGCCTCGTGCATGACGACGTCGCGGCTGGCCCGGCAACGGCTGGCGCCGCCGGCCACGTAGACCCGGTCCCCAATGACGCAGCAGGCGAACTTCTTCCGTGGCAGGAGCATGGGGGCCGCGCGGGCGACCGTCCGCCGCCACGTGTCGTAGACCATGGTGCAGTCGCCCGCCAGCGTGGCGCCCAGCACGAGGATGCGGTGCTGGAGTACCGCCGACTGCGCGTGGATGAAGGTGTGGTCGGAGGATGACGTGTCGTGGTCGTGGTCGTGGTTGTCGGGGAAGAGGAGGCCGGCCTGCCACTGGCCCGTGGACTGGGAGTACGTGGCGGAGGAGAGCCCCGAGCCAATGCCGCCAAAGACCACCACGAAGCTCTCGAGCATCCGGAGCTTCCCGCGCGCGCGGTAGTAGGGGTCGGACTGGACGATCGCGCGCCAGTGGCGGCACACCATGGCGCACTGCCGGATGGAGCCACGCGGTACCCTAGCCAGGCATTCCACCAGGAGATCGTCCGGGAGGGACGCCATGAGCAAGCTCTGGAGGGAGGAGGAAGGAGAAGGAATGCGAGGCGGCGGCAAGAGCATTGCCGAGTACTCCACCACTACCTCTTGGCGATCGCCGTAGCACTCGCAATCGGACATGGGCGGGCTCCAGCACGCCCGGACGAGGCTCCGGAGCCCCATTCTCCTGCCGCTCTTGGAGCGCTGCATTGCCGCCGCCGCGCCCGCCGCTGGCTGCCCCATCCTGTGTAGCAATCGATCGATGTGATCGACCGAAACCCTAAGCTAGGAGCTGCGCTCGATCTACGCTATACCAACACCGGCATTCCTCCACCAAACCCTAGCGAGATAGCTCTGCTCGAACGGACCACATTTTCCCACCATTTTCTCTTCTCTTTGTGCGATTACCATTCTATCCGAGCAATCGATTAAATGCGCGCATTCTCCCAGATCTTCTCGATCGATCGAGCCAGCCAGTCACCACCAAACCCTAGCGCTCTTTCTCTTTGCCGCGATCCATCAATTCAAATGTACTTCATTCCAGCGATCCTAATCCGGCGCGAGATCATGAACTGGAGGAGCGCGTAGATCACGCCCAGCAGCGCCAGCCCCCGGATGCTGCCCACGTCCGCCGCCACGATAGCGGGCGCGTTGAGCGGACTCGTCACCAGCAGCGCCATGTCCGACGCCCGCGCCTGGTTCCACAGGAAGAGATTGAACACCGCGTGACTGGGGATCGCCATCGCCAGCAGCACCGTGTTCTTGGCCGCGTAGATCACCCCCGCCCCGCCCATCTCCATCCCCCACGACGAGCTCTCGTGCCCGTGCCACACCTCGCCCCACACCTTGATCGCCGAGGAGATGGCGAGGTAGATCGACACCGCGGCGCACAGCGGGAGGTAGCGCTGCCGATCGCCGAATCCGGTGACGAGATTAGTATCCTGGTTGAGCAGCAGGAGGATCGGCGCCAGGAACAGCACCGCTCGATCGGATCCGCCGGTGAGGTGCCGGTTGAGGACGATGCACAGGAGGAAGCTCCCGATGGTGGCGATGTTCCCCACCGCTGGCATCCACGCCCCCTCCGCCGAGAGCTTCTTCACAGTGAGAGGGCTCATGTGAGAAGCTCGCTGCTGCTGTAAAAGCCGGTGCTTTGGCACGAATCCAGCTCCTCCTCCTCCGGTGTGGACTCCTCCCTTTTCTCGGAGGATCGAAGCGAGCTGGAGCTTGATCACCAGCGCGATGAGCATGAAGATTGCGGCGTAGAGACCCAGCAGCGAGCTGCGTGCTCCTCGGAGAGCCAGTATCGAGACGAGCTTCTCGTCGCCATCGCCACCTGTTTGATCCCATCCTCCCCGGAGCTGGCCTTCGAGGAGATACATGACCGGAAGCAGCGAGACGAGGAGTCCAAACAGCCACGGCACGAAGCGGGGGCTGGAGGCCGATGGTAGCAGCACGAAGACGAGGAAGAGCGAGGCCGACACCATCGCCACTACCAGGAGGACGCCGATGATCACGAGCTCAGGGAAGTAGCGCGCCGCGATGTAGATCCCCAGGTTGGCACCCACGCCGATCGCGTAGAAGAAGCGAAGTGTGACGAAGTGCTGGACCGGGAGAGCCGAGGACAGCGCCGCCAGGGTCGTGATCGCCGTGGCGAGGAGGAGCCATGTCGACCAAGTCGGCACTGCTGCTATTCCGCCATAGATCGCCTCGTCGTCAGAATAGTCGATCTCCCTCACGTAAAACGTTCGCCTCGAAAAGGACCACGGGAGAGGCGGCTGCAAGAGCATGAACAGCAGGCCGGTTGCCAGGACCAGGACGAGTGATCTTCTCGCTGCCTGCAGCGTAAAAATGTGATTCTTAGAGAAGAGAAGCTGTGAAAACAGAGTTTTGAAAAGTACCTGCAAGTGGTTGAAATGCTGGACTACGATCGGGGCGCTGGCAAAACCCGCCAAGAGTATCATGGAACCGAGAATAACACTGTCCGAGGGACGTCGACCGAAAGACCACTCGAGAGCCTCGATGATTGTCGACTGGCACCAGAATACAGCCGCGAGAATAACGACTGCGTGAGCGATTCCTTGCCATGGTTTCATCCGACTTCCAGTTTTTCCTTTTTGTCTGTGAAGGAAAGAGCGAAAACTTTAGCTTTCTACCTCCAACGAACAAACTTCTCCCTCGAAAGAACAAACTTACTTGTAGAGAAGAACGGGTGGCGAGACGGCCAGAAGCAACACCACCGAGGACCACAGCACAGTTCTGGAAGATAACAGCAGCATCCCAAGCTTGGAAGCGTAGAGGCAATAGATCACCCAAGCTCCGAGAGATGTGACAAAATTGTTAGCAGCCAATCTTCGAGTGACTAGCAATCCAAAGGTGGTGGAGAGCACCACCGCATAGCTTGGATAAATAACGTCGTCCGTGTAGCCATAGTAGATCCCGGGGTAGTTGTAGAGCTTGTTCTCGAGGTTGCAAACCAGCGCGGCATGCCCGATCAAAGAAATGTCGGTGAGGTAGCGAGCCTTGCCGGGAAGAGTGCTCAGCCCTGGAACTGCCAAGGCAATGCTCGCGCTGGCAATGAGAAGCTTGCAAATCGACTTGATTTCGCTTCCTCCAACCCAGATGCTCAGTGACCAGTAGTTGTGGAACACAAACCAGGTGACTGAAACGCTTGCCGAAACCGCGAAGAGAAAATACGATCCAAGGTTTCTGGACGCGAGGTAGTGGCCCAGGAACGCGGCGGAGATGATCGGAGCTGGGAGAAACTGCAGCAAAAATCTTTGAGCACCCAAGAAACGATTTTCCCGAGAGCTGGAGCTCTAGAAGCACGAACCTTGAGTGGCATGCCAAGGACGAGCGAGGACGAGAGCGCGGCGACGAGGAGGAGAGCGGTGAGAGGAGCGTTTCCAACGCGGCCGAGGAGGAACAATCCAACAGCGGCAGCTCCTCCCAAGAGGCCGAGCGTGACGAGCAGATAGTTGAAAGGTGGCGGGATCTGGATGTACTGGTGGAACGCGAAGAACACCACCCGGACCTCGAGACTGAGGATCACCGCCACCAGAGCGATCGCGCCATTGACGAGGCGAAAGTGGTCGAGTTGCCTGTGATCTTTGGCCAGCCACCACAGAGCTCCTTTCGTGGATGCGTAGAGCTGGAAGAGCAAAGGCACGAAGAAGAGGAGGACGAGCTCGGCGATGGCGTTGGCGGATCCAAGCCGGCGGTGGTGGATCCCGAGATGGAGCGCCAGTGGGAGAAACAGTAGCATCAAAGTGTGGAGACATCCTTCCAGAGGCCCGATGAGTAGGGACTCTTCGGGGATCTGTCCGCCATAGCTCTTCTCGGGCTTGGACTTAAACGAGGACGTCCTAGGCAGCGAGAAGAGCCAGTAGAGGACGAACTGGACGGCCATGAGATAGAACGCGGCGTGCTCCACCCCCGCCGCCGCCACAATTCCCCACGTCTGGCACGCGCCGGCGACGATCGGTGTGGTCGCGAAGAGCAATCTCTCCAGCGCGATCACCACCGAGGGATTCTCGAGCTGCAGCCAGCGGAATTGGAGCGATGCCCAGACGCCAATGAGAAAGATGAGCTCCATGAGCACGAGCAGTCCCAATCCCTGGAGAGCCCAGCTGGAGCTGGAGAGGTTGATCCCTGTGACGAAAAACGCGATCCCGGCCGCGAACAGCGACCCCCAGACCCCGAAGAAGGCCGCGCGCTTGAGGAGGAGAGAATCTAGAATGTAGGAGATCATGAGTCCTACCGTGAGCGTGGCCGACACCGGCTTGCCGCCCATCCCGAGCATCAGAGCCGCGCACGGTGCCAGCGCCATGCCCATCCTCGCATTGTGCTTGAAGCCCGTGGATCGGAGCTCGTCCACGGGCGGGCGCCTCGACGCCGCCATCCCTGTTCTTGAGGAAGAGCTCATAAACCCTAAATTCTGGCGAGATGCCCTAGGCGCGGATGACAATGGCGATGACGATTCTAGCTCTCAGAGCGCCGGCGCCGGCGTTGTCGATCGCTCCTCGATCGAGTAGGCTGCTGCTACTGAATCGCTGGATGGCGCTTCGCGGCGATCGCTCCTCCTTGCGTGCCCGGGCGTCGAAATATTCCAATTATATTGAGGAGGGAGAGGAGAAGGGGGAGAAGCGCAGGAAGCCAGGGAATGCTCTCTACCTCCTCCTCCTCGCAAATCTCGGCGTCTACGCGCTGGATCACTGGCTGGAGGTGAGTTGCGCGCTCGCGATTCCGGGATTTCCATGGCATTGCTCTTGATGGATCTAGGTACCAGGTATGAAGCTGCTCTACCTCTATCACAATTCCCCACGCTGGTACCAATTCATCACCGCGACCTTCTGCCATGGAAACTGGGGCCACATTTCCAGCAATCTCTTCTTCCTCTACATGTTTGGCAAGCTCGTGGAGGAAGAAGAGGGGGGATTTGGGCTGTGGGCGTCTTACATTGTGACCGGGGTTGGAGCAAATCTTCTCTCCTGGCTGCTCCTCCCTGGAAACGTTGTGTCGATCGGAGCCTCTGGAGCGGTGTTTGGATTGTTCGCGATCAGCGTTCTTGTCAAGGTTGGTTTTCTCTCCGGGACAATTGTTTCAAGATTTTTTATCTTTCACTCTTTCCATAGCTGAGCTGGGATTGGAGAAAGCTGCTCGAGGTGTTGGTCTTGGGACAATTTGTTGTGAACAAGGTAAGAACATAACTCCATTTGCGCTGACAAGAGAATTCGAGTTCCTGGGAAAAAGGTGGTGGAAGAGACTCAAATGCTGCAAGCTGCGTCGAGTGTGAATCACGTAGCACACTGCGCTGGAGCAATGGTTGGCGTGCTGCTCATCTGGGCTCTAAGCAAAATTCCAGCTCAAAAACACGACCATTGATCTATTTTTTGTATGTTCACATCCAACGGCTCTGCTTCTTTTAGTTTACACCATTAAAGACCATTTTTACGTAAAAAGTTGATAATTTAGTGAAAATGGAGGGCGGAGCGGTATGCAATTTGGTTGATTGTCCATTTGGTTTTCAACATTAACAACTTGCTTGAATGCATGGGTTGAATGGGTTTATGGGCCATGAATAGCACATAGCATCGATCATTGCTATGGGCATGATGCCCCATCTGGGGCATAAGGATTGGATATTCATAAAATATTTTATACTTCTGTTTTTTTTACACTCATATTACATGTGGACTAATAGCAGCCAGACACGTGGTATGAGTGAAATCTACTGTTGTACTATCCACCCTCACAGTCAGAGAGATTTTTAGTGCGCCTGAATGGCTGAGTCAAATCAATTACTTCAGGCGTCTTCTTCGTTTGCAATTTCTTGGAAAATTTACACTGTGGCGTTTGTTTTCGATTCCAGACTTACAATCAAATGAAAAATCTTGTGGAACAGAAATACGGACTTCATCTAGATGCCATACATCTTCCTGGACAGACTTTAGAACAAGGGGTGGATATTCTGGAGATTATGCGTAACATTCACATCTTTGTAGCTTGCTACACTTACAACCTCAACACTCAGGTGCATTATACAACATTCACTGTGACTGTTTCTGTTGATCATATGTGTAGATCTTTGTGGAAAAACCTTCAAATGCTCGGAGTCGGAAGCACTTGAACCGTCAACGTGAAACATGTTGCAAACTCGATACGTACACACGGCACGGGAATAATGAATGCCACAGTCAATTTCGCATATCAATATCTGGCTCAGAAATTTGTTGTCTTTTATCAGTTTCTGTTTGATGATCACATCAAATCTCGTTTGGTAAAGGAACAACGATTTTACAAGGTTTGCCGAGTTTTGACGTTTTTTTTTCTTGACTAATGGTTTTAATAGGAACACAAGATAAGACCTGACTATGGCTACCCCATGGCAAGAGCTGAGAAGCTGAATAAAGACATAAAAAAACTGAGTTTTCTTGATCAATTTCGCTCTCTAATATCTGAAATGGGGAATTCTCTCGGCTTTGTTAGAATGGTGAGTCTCGGAGGTCTGCATTACTGCACTACAGCATGCGGGTATGTGATTTTGAAGTTATAAAACCAACTTATGTATATCAAAACCTCTTCCGGGTTTTTATAGTTCTATACCGGATCAAAACATCAAACAGAATTTTGAGGAGGCAGCCAGGAGCCTTCATTTGCCTTCTTTAGCAGTTCAGGCCGGGCAGCTACTAGAAAAAGCTTTGAACAGCCAAAAGCTATCCGTTGACGAGAGTAGCTATTTCGCCATCCTCACAAATGTTTTTTATCAGGTTGTTTTCATTCTCACAAAGTTTGACAATGGTACTATTAAGTTTTCATCGGTTCCGCAGGAACTTCAGAGTAACGGCAATGTACACCTGAAGGATTTCTTCTTGATGGTTCCTGCTTTGACGATAAATGCAGCAGACGCAATGCATCAGTCGAAAGAAAAGCTTCATAAGCGCGGGCGAGATGCTGTTAATGCCATGTCTACAGAAGACGGTTTTGCTCTTGGAATCGCCTACATTCTCAAGGTTCATAACGTTGTTGATTGTAAGACTCACTTATGATTTGCTGCTTGTGTTAAGCAGGTGCTTGATCAGGACAAACAGTTCAATTCGTTGCATTGGTTTCAATCTGCGAGAGTTCATTTTCTGGCCGAGCGAACACGTCTTCAGGATGGGTTGGATATGGACAGCATTGGAAGCGGGATGAACGGTTTGCAAGTTTGGAGTCAGAAGCTGGCTTTGCTTTCCAAAGAAGAAGCTCAGAATATGCAAACGGTTTGTGAACAAATCTGTGAAATTCACTAACCGTTTTGTTTTCAGGCCATGAAGAGGCTAACAAGTATCTTAATGGAGATCGAAGGCACAGTTTAAATCTTCAACTCATTTTGCACAACTGAAAACAACTCTTTCTTTGGCACTGTAGATAATTGATGATGCTTCTATGGCTTCATGGGTGTGTTAGACTGATGTCTGTCATCACATGGGTGAAAACCAACTACACAATCGAATACTTTATTCAATTTGACTTGGACTTCACATTTTAAATCTCTTCGTATTTATGTACTTAATTCGTAGTCTTTTTAGAACAATTATTTGTGGTTTGGTTTATTGGTGTACGATTTTCAACATTGCCACGGTTTTCAAGTTGAAAAATGTGATCCACCAATTACCAAACTTGAAAGATTAATTTTGAAGATACGATTTTTTTAGCCTGGTATTTAAAAGTCATTAATGAGTGTCTGAAACTACAATGGCAAAGATGGTTTCTTTTAGTGTGGTGATGGCTGTGGTGATGATCTTGTTCGGAGGAGTCCAACGCACTCTTTCTCAGAGTGTAAGAATTCTTCAAAATGTCATAAGTTTCATTTTAAACTGTTTTTACAGACTTGCACCTATACCATCAAGATCAGAACAGGAACTACAGGCACGGATGAAAGGGTGGATCTCCGCTTGTTTTCTTCAGATGAATCTGTCTTGGATTTCTCTGATCTCGATGGTCCAGGGGATGACTTTGAGAGTAACCAAGTCAATACCTTCACATTCACAGGGCGTGAATGTCATGTCATATGTGCTGCTAAGCTTACTCTCGCCCGCATTAGCATTGCTAATGCAGGCATCTGGTCATTTGAGACGATAAGCGTCACCGTGAGTAATACTTCTCAAACCAAGTTTTTTGCCGTAGGGGAACCAATACGAGGTGGAACGAGTCGTGTCGTTGGCCCCTGTACCTGAATACTACTAAAACTGCATGCAGCACTTCAAGTGACAGGGTTGGATAACCAGAGTCACAAATAAGTTGCATAATAAGAAATTATATTTGTGTTTGTTATCACTTAAATCCTGCATTCTCTTGTCCATCAATTTCTTTCTTTACAAATATTAAGAATTGCAATATCAGTAGTACTAAGGTGCTCCGGGAGCCCAATTATGCAGCGGTTTGTGAATTTTTACAAATCGCACAGTTAAATTTGAAATTTGAACCTGGATCTGAGAAACTGCGGCTAGATTTGATTATTGGGGTCTTTGGGCAGTTTAAATCTTTGCTCCTTTTGCACAAGTGAAAACAGCTCTTTCTTTGGATTGATGATGCTTCTATAGGAAACAGAGAAACAAGAAGAGATCTGATTGTGGCTACCCCGTGGCGAGAGCTAAGAAGCTGAATTAACACATCAGAAAACTGGGCAGGCTTAGCGACGACGGATTCAATTTTTCCATCTCTAATATGTGAAATGGGGAATTCTCTCGGCTTTGTCAGAATGGTGCATCTCGGAGGTCTGCATTACAGCATGCGGGTATGTGATTTTGAAGTTATATTACCAACTTATGTATATCAAAACCTCTTCCTCGTTTTTGTAGTTTTATACCGGATCAAAACATCAGGCAGCCAGGAGCCTTCATTTGCGGGCAGTTACTGGACAAAGCTTTGAACAGCCAAAACCTATCCATTGCCGAGAGTAACTATTTTGCCATCCTCACAAATGTTTTTTATCAGGTTGTTTTCATTCTCACAAAGTTTGACACTGGTACTATTAAGTTTTCATCGGTTCCGCAGGAACTTCAAAGTAACGGCAATGTACACCTGAAGGATTTGTTCTTGATGGTTGCTTGGTTGCGTTTCAGGCTCTGATAACAACAGGTGAGCTTCAAACACCCACATTTGTGTTGAGTTACATGGCTGATCTTAGTATGCATTTTGCAGCCTACTGGAAAGGTTTTTATTGCTGCTATCAAATTGTGTTCTGTCTAGTCTGCTGTAGCGACAAAATCCCCGACAACGACCAGAGCACGGTAACATTCGCCATGAACAAAGTATATTGTGCGTTAATGGATGTTATTAAAATAGAAATTAAATTTTAGATTCAATTTTGTTTTCTGTAAAACTATGTTAATATCTTATAATTTGGAAGTTGACCTGTTTTTGGGAAACTTTCTTGGTTTCAGAAAAGCAATTTGGTAGCTAGCTCATATATGTCGGCAATGCGTTATCATCTCGTCTTCTTCATGCAATATAGTCCTCTCCAATCGTCGGTCGACATCCAGTTAATATATATAGATTCGTGATTTAATTTCGTCAATCATTTACGTTTGCAACTACAACACTTCAAACCACATGCTAAACAAAATGTGAGATGCTCACCTGATCCGATCCGGATAAATGGAATCACGACCACCTTCACCAGCCTTCAACTTCCCAAACCTGAGGTGCCTGTCCATAAACTCAACAACTCTTCGTAATCATACTTGTCAAACATATCACATGTATATGGCCATACGTCACAGCTGCACCTGTTTAAAAATATAGCTTCAGGAATGCATTGCTTCGGGAAAGAAGATCTGTGTACTAGCTGGGCCGACGTTTTCCTGACCTGTTATTAAACAGTCGAAACTTCTGAACCTCGTTTACCGTACGCGTGGATCTTAACATAGCCACTCCCCCATTTCTTAAATAAACTGGAGCCTGTGAAATCTGAACTTCCAGAAATGAAGGGATTTAGGGCATACTAGCGTGCAAGGCCCATAACCTGTTGAGAGAAAAACGGAAACTAAGCTTTTCTGAATTGAACGAATTGTGAAATAAAGTTTGATGATGCCACATGGCATGCATCCATTCAGCCATGTGGCTGAGTTAATGTTGAACTTCAACAGGATTGCCCCACGTGCTCCTTATCCCACTGTTGGTCGTGTCAGTTGTTCCAAATCATGTAATTATACACTGGCTCATAAACTAATAGTTAGTTTATGAGATGCATAATTTTACACATGGTTTATGAACGAGAGCTGACGGCTTTGATCGGCCGTCGCCAAGGTGCCGGCCTTAGGGCGCGGGGACAATCGGGTGCTGCAGATCTTTAGGGCGCTAGCCAGGATCAGGGTTTGATCGCCATTGCCGCTCAATGCCATCTCCGCCTCCACCATCGGATCTTTGCCTCCACCATTGGATCTTTGCCTCCACCACCCAACACCGCCCAGAAGATCGCCGCAGTGCCATCTCCGCCTCCGCCATCGGATCTTTGCCTCAACGCCGCGCAAAAGAAGGGTTGATCGCTCTGCCACTCCCAATAGATAAGGCGGTTAACCATTTCCGTTAGCAATTTCGAGGATAATCCTTATTGAAATCCCTAATTTCCTATGAAAAATATAAATGTTTAGGGTTTATCTTGTGCAGATTGCCACTCGAGATTATCCTCGATAATTGCTAACCTCGGTTGGTTATCCCTTCCAAGAAGTATTTTTGTTTGTCATATTCAAGGCTGGCCATGCCAAATCTGAACCTAGTGATTTGTATATGCCTTTTTTTAATCAGTGGTTAAACCGTTTACCTAGTCATTTTACCTGTTTAACGTTTTGTCAAGGGATATTCCCAAACTCCTCGAAGATTAAATAAATTGCTATGCGTTGCATGTAGCAACACTTGGTTTGCGTAATGGTAGTTTCATTATTACTTATTAATCTAATTGATCAGATAAAGTTTATAATTATAAGCATGTTTGTAATTTATAAACACAAGATTAATCTTATTGCATATCAACCATTAGATGATAAAATAAAAAAGAATATACTAGAAAGGGTTTAAGAAAGTTTATAAATTATAAACATGTTTATAAATTATAAATACCAGATTAATCTAAATGAATACCAACCGTTAGATTGTAGAATATCCTAGAATATCCAAGCATATTCTAGGTATATTCACTACCATTCCTATAGGTTTGCTTAAGCAAACCAAAAAAGCAGCTAGGCCACTAAATACATTGAAAACAGTAGTATGAACCGCGCGTTTGAAGCTCAAATGGTTGATTGATCAAGCGTTGTTGTTTGTTCGCTCTAGTTGCAGCTGCAAGAATTTCCTGTAAAGTGCAGCCTGCTTGTACAGGGCACCCTCCTGTTGAAGGTGCTCCATCTCTGGATCCTCACAGAAGAGCACACTCGCACTCTTGAACCTCGCCCACTGCGCCGCCGAGGGGCCTCCTTTGAAGCTCCTCAGCTCAGGAATGAATCTCATCTTCAGCTCGTTCGACCGCCCTTCCTCCATCTGCAGCTGCTTCAGCAGCCTCCTGCTCGCCTCAACGCCCTCAGGAATCTTATACACCTCATGCATATCAACGGAAGAAGCGCTGCAGCAACATCCTCCCAAGCCTCTGCGTAAACCATCCAAAAGCTCAGCTCCTCGTCATCCGGATTCGCTTCCTGATCTGTTGTTGCAGCGCCAAGCACACTCTTCCAGATCTCATCGACCTGCGGCTTGGCCTCGCTCGAATCGGCAAGAAGCGTCTCCACTCGATCCTGCAACGAGAGCTTCCTGTACCTGCGCGTGAATCCTGCCGCTGCGACATGAGAATCCATAAACCCTAAACTCTTTTGCACTACTCCTAAATGTGGATGGACTCCATATTTCAATAAAATTTGTACCTATGTAAGACGTGGACATCCAGTTACGAAATCTTTGGATAAGTTTGTGGGGTAAATAACTAGCCAAATGCTAGTGAAAATGCAAGTCACTAGGGTAACTAAACCTCTGTTCGGTTGTTTTCACCAGAGTGTAGTTTCACTGAAAGAGGGCTGAGTAAAATAAAAATGATATATATGTTAATAATTTTCGGTTGACATGAGGGGCGAAAATGGCGGCTGGAGTACCAGTTGTCTTTGTACCCTGTTGAGAGTGGAGAGTGCTGTCGCTACTAACCACTTAGTGCCAAAAAAGTAAGGGAAACCTTGTAAAGAAAAATCAAACTGAGTCCCAGTGTGCTCTATTCTGCCTGGTATCTGGTTTATTGGATGTTGTCTGATAAGAGTTTAAAGATGACAAAGTGATAATTTATACGTAAAAAGTTGATAATTTAGTGAAAATGGTGGTCCAACTTTATTTGACGCTTTTTAAAATCCTATACCTTTAATACACACATGATTTGACAAAGAATTCAATCCGGTGTAGCAAGCAGTACAACCACATACCTCTACAAACCTGCTTGCCTGTTCCTCCTGTAGAGCTATCTTATAAAATTCTCGTCGCAGCAGTAGCATGGTAGCGAGAGTCTTCTCTCGTTATTCATTCCTCCCAGTACTACTAAAGCTTGGTTTTTCGATCGAGAGGAACTTCCGATCGAGCGTACCGCAATCCACCTGTGTGTGTGTGCTCACTGGACCGGGTTGGGAGGATTGAGAACTCCCTGCGATCCACAGTCGAGGTTGAGGCCCGGATCCACGTCCTTGTCAATGATGTTGAGGAAATAGTTGTAGTGGGCGATCCGGTCCTCCATCTTTGGATCGCTGCCGTGGCCACACTCGTCGTCTCCAGCCATGATGTTGATCGTCATTCCAAATCCGGGGCTCCTGAACGACAGAGTGTCGTTCCTGGATGGCTTCCACTTGTTGACCATCACCTCGTGTGGAGATGGCTGCTTGGGCTTGACGGGAGTGATCCACTTGAAGATCGCCGCCTGGAACGCCACTGTCGCGTTCTCGCTAACCATCTCTGGGTGATTCATGAGGTCGAGCTTGAGGTACTTTGCAGCGGGTCCATAGTTGTAGTTCCTGGCAAAACACAAGGAATAAGAAAAATCCCGGTTTTGGATCGAAGAACTTACCAGTAGAGTGGGAGAGCTCCTCGTCCATGGTAGCTGACACCTTTGGAGCAAGGATAGAGGAAACTATCCTCGCAGTAGATCTTTGGTGGACTAAGTTCTTCCTTGTAGCAAAGCCCCCACGCGTAAGGTCCCCCTTTAGCTGCCGAATAGCCACCTGAAATTTTCGCAAAGCAAAGCATTAGCCACGAGAGAAATTTTAAACTCTTCTCTAAAAGAGATCTAAGAAATCGCTTGTTCTTCCCTGGAGCTCCAGCAGATCTAAGAACTTACAAGTCGTCTCATGGGCCACATGAGCTAGAAATGCCGCAATCTCCCTCTTCTGGACCGTCTCGCCGCCAGTGACCCCAAACCCCTCTTTCTCCATGGTTTTGGCGGCCGTGATGAATGAGTAGTGGTCATAGAATCCCTGCGCGTGCGTCTGCGGCTCATTCCTGTGATTGAACATCAAATCGAAGAGATCACTGGTGAAGATCTCGGCCACCGTCTTGTTCTTGGGCTTGGCGGCGAGCTCTACATTGCCCCCCCCCTTGGCCGCGGCCAATCCCGCGAATCCCAGCGCCACTAGCACCCCAAGGAGCGCAATGCAGGAGGAGGCCGCCATACCTCGATTCATCCCCTGCCCAATCGCTAGAACCCTAGCTCTCCCAAGCCCTGGACTAGAATTTTTCTAGAGCGCCCTTCTTCGCTCCTCGCATCGTGTGACTTACCATCTACTGCATTGCAGGTGGGAAAATGGACCCCTGGCCAGCCAAGCTAGCGCTTTCACGAATACAAACGTGCCACGTGTAAGATTCGGAATAATATTTACCACCGGACGGCAGATGGTTTGTGGGTCCGAGGTCGAGGGTTCGAATCCCATCCCCAGTACGCGCCGACACGCGAATCTACTGATTCTCTCTTTCTTCCTCGTAGGGTTTAGGGTTCCAACGAACAGGGTGAGTAAGAGCGTGGTAGCAATGGCGCCGAATCCTCGGTGCTACATGGACATCAGCATTGGAGGCGAGCTCGAGGGCCGGATCGTCGTGGAGCTCTTCGCGGATATTGTTCCGCGCACCGCCGAGAATTTCCGGGCGCTGTGCACTGGCGAGAAAGGCGTCGGTTCTTCCGGATATCCGCTCCATTACAAGGTATCTGTTTCTTCTCGATGAAAAATCCTTCCTTTTCTTCACTTTCTCACTGACTTCTCTGCATTTTCATTGCGAGAATTTTATCTCTGTGTGAAGTTTTTCTTCATGCCTGTGTGAGATCATCTAGAAAAGTCATCTCCTTTTCTTCCAGCATCTCACTGACTCACTGACTTTTTCGCTTTCTCATTGGCTTCTCTCTTGCAAACAGGGCGTGGCTTTTCACCGCGTCATCAAAGGCTTCATGATCCAAGGCGGCGACTTCACCGCTGGCGACGGCACCGGCGGCGAATCCATCTACGGCCTCAAGTTCGACGACGAGAACTTCAAAGTGAAGCACGAGCGCAAGGGGCTGCTGTCCATGGCCAACTCGGGGCCCAACACCAACGGCTCCCAGTTCTTCATCACCACCGCTCGAGCCTCACATCTCGACGGCAAGCACGTCGTGTTTGGCAAAGTTCTCAAGGGAATGGGCGTGATTCGCAGCATGGAGCACGCTATCACGGACGACAAGGACCGGCCCGTGAATCCCCTGGTGGTGACCGAGTGTGGAGAGCTTCCGGAGGGAGCCGACGATGGAGTGTCGCTCTTCTGGAAGGACGGTGATATATTCCCGGACTGGCCAGCGGACTTGCCCGAGCAGCCAGAGGAGTCGGCCTGGTGGGTGTCGGCCGTGGAGACCGTCAAGAGCCTGGGAAACGATTGCTTCAAGGTGTGATTCTTTTCTTTCCTTTTGTTCGTTCGCATTCTATAGAGCTTTGGAACGTTATGTTTTTCTTCGTAGCGTGGCGACTATAAGATGGCGCTTCGCAAGTACAGAAAAGCCTTGAGATATTTGGACGTTTGCTGGGAAAAGGAAGAGATAGACGAAGGTTTGTCTCGCTCTTGTTTCGTTGGTTTCGAAAAAACGTTGTTTTTGGCAGAGAAGAGTAACAATCTGCGGAGGATTAAGTCCTTGGTTCTCACCAATAGCGCTGTAAGTCTCTATCTTTCTCTCATCTTCCTGCTTGGTCTCACTCTTTTGGTGCTTCAGGCCTGCAAACTTAGAGTTGGCGATGCTCGGGGTGCTCTGGTAGACACGGAGTACGCCATGAACAATGGAGAGCCCAATGTGAAGGCACTGTTTCGACAAGGCCAGGTGATTCTCACTGTATTTTTCTGCTTTTTCTAAGCTCTTCCTATTCTCTGTAGGCGTACCTGGCTTTAAACGACCTGGAAGCAGCAGTGGCAAGCCTGAGCAAAGCTCAAGAGATCCAGCCCAACGATGGTAAGTTCGATCTTTGCTCGTTCTTCTTCCACTTCTAGAAACCAATCGTTGTTTGACTGAGCAGCTGGTATCCGGAAAGAGCTCACAACAGCTAAGAACAAGGTAACGAAACGTTGTTGCTGGATCGCTTACCTAGTGGTATTACAGATACTAGCGAGACGGGATCAGGAACGCAAGGCCTACTCTAAAATGTTCCAGTGAGTACCTAGCCGGTGGAGGCGACCAAAGTTTTGTCTGCGTGGTAGCATGTGACAATGTGCACGGGCCGCTCAAAATTTGCTCCATTGTAAATGCTCTCCCCTCTCTCTTTCTCTCTTCAAGCAGTCGTTTTGCTCCGGATCGCGTTGAGATAGATCCGCTTTTCTTGCAGTCCAATGTCTGAGATTGTAAGCTTCTGCCGCAACGAACAACATGAAAATACTTGTCAAGCTAACATGACAAACCCATGATTTCACAAGCTTGACCTCTGCAGTTGCCATCAAAGTTCGTACACTGCTTGCGTAGAGCTTTGGATCTGCCTTCTCTTTGTCTGATGGACTGTAAACTGGCAATCTCGTAACCTCGAGGAAGTTGATTGGCTGGCATAGTAACAAGAGAATGTGGCGTACCTGGAAAAAGGTGAAAAAAGTCAGAAAGGATAATCGAAAGGAACAGCTTACCCCGGATATGGATTCCCAGGCCGGACTGAAACGAGTGTACGGGTATCTGAGCACAACGGGCAAGACTGGCGTCTGGCTTAGAAACGCACCCGTCTTGAACGGAAGGAGGTGCTTTCCATTAGTGGTTGTCCCTTCTGCAAAGTCAAATTTGCTGTGCGCCGGAAAAACTCTTGTGTTACCTGGAAAGAGAAGCATGATCTGAGCTCCTGGATCGCTGTGAGCAGCTCGAAGCCTCTCGCTGACGATTCCTGGAAAACGAAAGAAAAGGAAATCAAAAGCTTGCTTCGAATCTTCTTTGCTTCACTCACCAGAGACTCCTTTGGTATCCGATGTCTTTGATTCTCTCTGGACGTAAACGCATCCCAAACACTTGCTGCGCAGCCAAACAACGCCAATTAGACAAAAGGACATCACGTTTGTGTGAAGAAAGATCGTTCTACCTTATCAAGCCGACCAGAGGTAACTTGGCCACTGATTTCTTCGAGCCGGATGGAAGAAAAATTGCGTTAACCAGGCAAAGTACTACTATAGATGATTTCTTTTGCTACGAAAGAAGAATTCACCTTAGCAACGAAGCTCGGGAACGAAGCAGACATGTGGTAGAGGATGTCCAAATAGGATACATGATTTGAAACGATCGCTCCTGGTGTATCTTCCGCCTGGCAAGAGAACTTGGATCATCAAAGAAAGAATTACCATAAACTTAGATCTTACAGCTATGTGCTCGTATCCATCCGGACCAACTTGCGCTGCCCCTTGCTGCAAGGACGCTGCCGAGGAGGGCGATTCTTTCACCTTGATCCAATAGAATCCCAGCACGAAGAGCATCACCCGCGCGAAGAACCTCCCCGAGGACGCGATGATCCAGCGCCGGAAGCCCCGCAGATACTCGTAGTTCTCCTGACCCTCCTCGTCCGATGGCGATCTAAACAGCGTGAAAATCCGGCAGATTACGTAGTAGATGAGCAAGACCAGGAAGAGCAGCACGAATCGGAGAGGAACGATGGTGAGGAGCGCAGCAGCCAGCTTCGCCCTCTCGCCCCAGGGCAATGCGCCGCGGCCGAGGGCGCCATAGCAGTCGTCCCTCACATAGGCCGCATATTTCGACTCCATCTCCTCCAAGCTCTCGATCTTGCTCGCCGCCGCTGCCACTGCCGATTCTGGCGGCGCCGCAGCCGCCTCCGCCGCTCCATTCGCCGCGGATTGGAGGAGAGGCGCTTCGTCTGCCCTGCTGCTGCCGCTATCATCCTCTTCTTCCACGGCTTTCCCCTCGGCGACGCCATTCGCGGGATCGCTGGCCTTGTGATCTTGGCCACCGCCACTATCGATCATCTCCACTCTGGATTCTTCCTCGGTGGCCTTGGCGCCCATGAGCTCCATCTCCCTCATACTGTTTTTAGGGCATTTGCTTCTTTTGCCCTAAAGAAGTATGGACGACGGTGGCAGCATTGCGCGGCTCGGCCTACCGCCATATCTCCGATCCAAGCTCCTTGCTTGCGGCTATTCTTCCATCGCGGATCTCCACGGCGCATCGCCTCTGGATCTCGCACGAGGTGTGTTTCTTGTGAGAAAATGCAGCCATGCTTGAGAATGTATTTCCATTTCCAGACGCATCGATCTCTTCCGATGAGGCGCTCTCTGTTCTGCGGCGAATCGGAGCTACTCCAGCGCCTATTGCTGGTAAGAGAATTCGATTGGAGTCCCTGGAATGAGCCTCTCGTTCTTTTTTTTCTCTCCCTCTTTTTCCACTCAGGAGCAAAGACTGCTTGGGATTTGATGTCGTTTGATCGATCCCGGAGCCGGATTGGAACTGGCTGCAGTGGTTTGGATCGAGTTTTCGGCGGTGGAGTCGCCTCCAAGGAGCTGACGGAAATTTGTAAGGAGAAGAGTGTATAGAGACGAGAAAATCACGATCCTTCTTCTCCAGGTGGTGCTCCGGGGATTGGAAAAACGCAGCTCGGGTATGGACTCACGCTTTTCATTCTAGATCACAGCGAGATCACTTCTAAAGTCTCTAATTTTTTCTTTTTCACAGGATGCAGCTTGCTATAAACGTCCAACTCCCTCGATCTCTAGGTGGTCTCAATGGTCACGCTGTCTACATTGGTACGTATGGAAATTCTTATCTCTTGGAAACGAGAACTTTGCTACTGTGTGGAAGTTTTGTCTCTTCTTTTTTACGAGTGATAAGAATGAGAGAAAGCTTCGTATGTTCTAAAACACTAATCCTTTTTTTTGCTCGAGCAGACACGGAAGGCAGCTTTATGATGGAGAGAGTGCTCCAAATGGCTCAACGAAGTGCTCTTGTGACGCCCGATCAAAGCGTCGAGTCTCTCCTCTCGCACATTTTCTACTTCCGCGTCTTCGATTCCACCGAGCAGATCGCCACCATCAACAGCCTCAATAAGTTCCTGGAAGAACACAAGGAGGTACTATACCACTAGACTCCGTTTGCTCCTCCCGCTTCTACTTAAAACGATTTCTAGGTGAAACTCCTTGTCATCGACAGTGTCACATTTCACTTCCGCCAAGACTTCCACGATCTGGCTCTCCGGGCCCGGCTGCTCAACAGCATGGCTCAGAAGCTCATGGCATTGGCTCACCATCATGAACTCGCGGTATGGCAATACTTTCTAGTCTTTGACAAGTTTTGCGATACGAATCACAGGTAGTTCTCGTGAACCAAGTGACAACCAAAGGCAATGGAGAAATCAGGCCTGCTTTAGGTGAGCTAGATTTTCATTCATCGATTCAAAAGGTCTCGTTATTTGAGATTGATAGTTCCTTCTTTTCTTTCTTAAAGGTGAAAGCTGGTCTCATGCTTGTACAAACCGCGTGATCTTACGCTGGGAGGGAGGAAAACGCCAGGCTTGTATGTTCAAGTCCCCATCTCTTCCTCCAGCAAAATCCAGTTTCTCAATTACTACTAGAGGGATCGGAGAGTGACAAATCACTCACTCGTCCATGTCATCCACGTCGCGCTGCGAATGGTCCCCAGCTTCCACCTGGTTTTGTATCGCTTCTAGAAACGATGCTACAGTGAAGTCACCTGTTGAAAAGCAATAAATTTGTTTCTCAAGATCTACAAACAGTAAGAAAGTGAATCCACACTCACACTGACTCGGATCAATGCCAAACTGTTGCAAATCCATTTGACCCGACCTGAGAGCCTGGATCATTGTCAAGTTGGTGAGAAACAAGCAAAAGAAGTTAAAAAAGTTTTTACTTACGTGAGTGAACATGTCAAGCTGCTGACGAAACTGTGGGCTCTGCATTAAATCCGCGATGGCCTCGGGTGTCCATTTCCCCTGCTTGGATAAATGCAAGTTGCTTCAGTCGTGGGGACCAAGGACCAGCAAAAGTATCGCATTACCTCGGGAAGATACTGAGACAGTCTCTCCTCCCATTGGTGGGAGTTTTCAAGCAGCGGGAGGACATGATCCGGTTTAAGAACGTCCGTCAGACTAGGCCCTGCAGAAGAGGGAATGAACGAAACAATGTATTTGTTTATAGGAAAGGAAAACTCACCTGGATCTTGGAATGCTCTTGATGTCCCCCCTACAAGAAGAAAAAAGAAAAATCTCCATGAGTATAGCAGAGAATTAAGTTTTGCTCTACCGTGGCCATTCAGGCTCTGGCCGAGGTTTGCCAGTATCTGTTGTAGCTCGGCGAGCTGCACGGGAGGATTTCTGATGTTCTCGACCGCTCCTCCTCCGGACGGGGTGGCTTTCCCAGTATCGTCAGCAGTGCTGGCACAACCATCATCAGACGTGAAAGAGCAAACACAGAATCTCAGGACTTACTTGACAATGTCACGCTCGATACTTTCCTCTACCGACGCTTCCTCCACTACTAGGAAAGAACTTCAATGCAGTCACTGTCAAAGGAAACGACATACCCGGCTGATTGATTTGGATGTTCACGGCGTCGCACAGCCTCTCGTCACCCGCAGGATTTGGCTCCTGGATGCAAGAAAAATGCGACACGAGAGCTTTAACAGCTGTAGAAGAAAATCTAGAAGCAGTTCTATCTACCTGGAGCCAGAAGAACATCTTTCTATCATCAGTCTTGAACTTTAGGATGTAAACTCGGCCATTGGATTGCTGGACCTACACCATAGAAATCACACTGCCTAATAAGACCACCTAAACGATCGAGACTCGTGAAGAAAAATAAAAAATCAAGTTCTTACCTTCTCAAAGATTGCTTCATCCGCGAAGACGATTTGATCCTATTGCATTGTCCATGTCAGACACAAAGAAGAGAGAAAAGAGAGAAAATCCAAATCACAGAGCTATGCTTACGTCCTCCACAGCTCCCGACACGCGATCCTGCCACTGGACGTGCACAAGCCCGGCCTCGTCCTGAGAATTTCGATTGCGCGAGCTGAGAATCCACCGAAATTTTATCAAATCCTTACCCTGGCTATGCAAAACAAGCCCTTCCTTGGATCCGCGCGGACCTGGACTCCCTCCATCAGCATTTTGCCCGCCTTGAATACAAGCACCGTCTCCTGCAAGAGCACACGCGAGCGCTGGTGAGAAGAACGCGACGCGACGAGCGCGAAGTGAGAACCATGGCGGAAGAGAGAAGAAGAGATTCCTTGGCCCGCCTCCTAGGGCTTTCTTAAACCCTAGTTCTTTATTTTGCTATATCACATAGCCGTAGTACCGGAGGGCCTTCCTCACGAGGATGCCAACGATGGCTATCGCCAGCCCAATCGCCAATGCCGTCAAGCCGAAATCGCTAGACTGCTGTACCGCTTGCTCTTCCGATCTCCCCGCTCGAATTCCAGCCGCGGGAATCGCCGCTACTGCTGCTGGTGGTGGTGGTGGATTCACAGCGTTGATCGTTGCTGGAGCTGGAGCTATAAGAGCTGGCGCTGGAGCTAGAACTGGAGCTAGAGCTGGAGCTGGATCTAGAGCTGGAGCCGGAGCTAAATCTCGAGAAGCTGGAGATGGAGTAGCTTCCACTTCTACACGATTATTTTCTGCGTCTTCCGGCGGTGATTCTTTCGTGTCTGGCACGGGATGCGCTCTCTTCATCATCTCGACATGGATCTGGAAAACCATGGAAGTTATGGCGATTTGATCGCTTCGAGGGCGATGAAAATAAGTAAATGCTTGCCTCGTCGATCAGCTTCTGGCGCTCGGGAGTGCTAACTCTTGGAGCGGCATCGCGGGACTTGATCGCGAGAGCCCTCCTTTCTTCCTTGGTGTAGTCGAGGGATCCGATAGCTCCTTCTGGCTTTGTCGGCATAAAGGCGATGAGAGCTACCAGAGCAGTGCGAACTACACGAAGAAAAAGAAAAGAAAAGCGTCAGTCCTTCTCACTCGATCGAATCGAAGGCAAAGTAAAGAACTGGACAAAGCTTCACTCACCACTCCAAGAAGGCTGCCAAAACTCTGGATGATGCGCTGATATGCTCAAGCAAATCTTTGTTTTGGTCTCAAATCTTCCATTGGGCTGAGCGAGAGAGACATCGAGAGATTATCGCCAAAACAATCGTCACAAGTAGCCACTCACCGTCAAAAGCACGAACTCTGGCGGCTTGAGAGGATACTCTGGAGGGAGCTGGATCCTGCCATGGTAAATTCCGCCCTCGAATTCGGTGTCTTTCGGACCCCGGATCGCGAATTGCCACTCAAAAATGTTGTCCTGCGACAGATCGAGAAGAAATCAAGAAGGAAATCTGGAAGAAGAAGTCGATCGCTCACCTCCAGCGGCATGCTCACGTAGTCATCGTTGGGATTGTTCTGGAGCTCCTTCACCTCCTGCAAGATGCGCTTCACGGCCGGATTGCGCACGTTGAAGCGCTCTCCCCCCTCAGCCATAAAGAACCCTAAAATTTCCTCCAAGAGAGGAAAGTCTAGAACCCTAAATGCGACGATGGTGTTCGATCCGGGCTCCCAGGGAGGCGGTGGAATGCGTCGTGATCGGCGCGGGCATCGTCGGGATGGCGATCGCGCGGCAGCTCGCCATCGCAGGGAAGAATGTCGTGGTTGTGGAAGCTGGATCCGCAGTAGGGACAGGCACCAGCTCCAGGAACAGTCAAGTAATCCATGCCGGGATCTACTATCCCGTTGGATCGCTCAAGGTTTGCTCGATTTGTCGCTTGAAATTCCAGCTCCGCGAATCTCTCGCTCTGTGCCACTGTCAGGCAGGCCGCTCTGTGCGTTCTAGGGAACAAGGCGATGTATGCCTACTGCCAGGAGCGATCCATTCCTTTCAAAAGATTGGGGAAGTTGATCGTGGCCACTTCGCTCCAGCAGGAGAAGACGCTACTTCGATTGCAAGAGACCGGTGTTGCGAATGGCGCCGAGGATTTGCGGGTGATCACAGCTGCCGAGGCGATGGCGATGGAGCCCGAGCTGAATTGCGTGAAAGCGCTGTGGTCGCCATCCACGGGAATTGTTGATAGTCACTCTTTAATGCTCTCACTCCAGGTATGTTCTTACTCCATCTTTTTTTCTCGCTTCTCTTGTTCTTCTTTAGTTCTACGTGATGCGTGAACTCTATTTTTCTTTTCTCAATGCTCTTCTATGTTCTTCGTTTTGTTTTTCGTCGGCTTGTTTGCCATTAAGTTACAACCTTGTCCTCTAGTTTTTTCTCTCGCTTTTTACATTTAGTTCTTCTCTGCATGCTTCGAAACTTCTTTGGTTGTCCATCGAATCTTATGCGTGAACTCTAGTTTTTCTTTCTCAATCCTTTCTTTTTTTCCTCTCTTCTGTGTTCTTCGTTTTGTTTTTGCTTTGTGGGTGCGACTTTGTGGATTTTTTCTCTTAAACAGGCAGATGCCGAGGAGAAAGGCGTAGCACTCGCGCTCAACAGCACTGTTCTCGGTGGCACAGTTCGACCCGACGGAGGACTGAACATCGTCGTCCACGAGACAAGCAGCGCTGCAAACAAACCGGTTGACGAGCTCGTGAGCACAGCTGAGATGGTACTCTCCGCAAGCTATGTGATCAACTCCGCTGGCTTGCACGCAACAGCCATCGCTCGAAACATCGAAGGCTTGAGCAGCAGTAGCATTCCTGAGAACTACTTCGCCAAAGGGAACTACTTCGCCATTTCATCCTCCAAGGCACAGTTTTCGCACTTGATCTACCCGGTTCCCGAGGAAGGAGGTCTCGGAGTACACTTGACTATCGATCTCGGAGGTGCCACAAGATTTGGACCGGACGTTCAGTGGCTAAACCTTTCGACGACAAGCGTGACAACCGAGTAAATGACCACTCTTTATCTTTCGTTCATACCTTTGTTCCACAGGTTTGACTACAGTGTGGATCCAGCGAGAGCTCGCAGCTTCTACCCAGAGATTCGGAAATACTTCCCAGGACTTCCAGATGAAAGCTTGGTTCCAGATTACTCTGGAGTGCGTTCCAAGCTCCGTGGAGGAAGTGGCTTCGACTTCATGATCCAAGTGAGTGAATCAAATTTTCGTTTTTGTTTTCCGGGTTTCACGTTGGATCTATTTATGTCGCAGGGAAAGAAGCATCATGGCATTCCAGGCCTCATCCATCTATTCGGGATTGAATCGCCGGGCTTGACCGCGTGTATGGAAATCGCCAAGCGAGTTTGCCAAATTCTTTAGGCTGACACGTTGTACGAGTTCAGTACGAAAGAAAATTATGTCTCGTTCTCTCTAAAGTCTTTTCTATGTTCTCCTTCCAGGAACTGGTTACTTGAGGGAGCGCAAGAGCTGGTTGGATCGCTCAAGCAGTGGACAGCTTCGAGCGTGAGGTATGTTCTTCTAACTAGCAAGGATGAACAACTCATGATTGTTAGTAGCCACTGGATTACAAATGAGAAGGCCTCTTGCTGTGCAAAAGTTTTGGAGTTTTATCTAAGGAGATGCAACCTGGATAGAACTTCATCAATTCGAAAAGAACGCTTCGCCACTTTTCAGGAATGTCTTCCACGGTGTCGATCATATCAGAGCAATGGACCACAAGCTTACGGGCTCCCTGGTCTCTGAACAAGACCCCCAAGAAAGAGATGTCGCCATCAGGGTAAAAATAAACATTCAACCAAAGGTGGAAATCAAGTGCCTAAGCTATGTGGATTGCCTTGGCATTGGAGTGCCTACAAGAAGAAGATCAAAGGATAGAAAAATAGAAAACCATAACGAGTGTAGTGTTTCACGCACCTGTAACGAGCTGGCGTCGAAATGGACGCTTCGCAAGTTGACCAAGGGCTCCAGAAGAAGGGAAATGCTCATCTTGTGCTTGCTTTCCAGATTCATGAAGGTAATCTCTGTGATTGTGGGCATGAGCTCGAAGAGCCTCACCAATTCATCCAGCTCCCAGTATCCTCTGATTTGCAAGCTCCTGAGCTTGTCAAACTTCGAGTTTGCAGTGAGCGTACATCGTCAGAACTTCTAGGCTCTCCGATTGGAAACTGAGGCAGATGTCCTGTTTGAACCTGCCAACCTTGAAGGTAGTCAGCCGGGGAGTGTCGAGGAAAATTTCGAAAGAGCTCAAAATGCCGTCCAGCCATATCCACATCAAAGTGAATCTCTTGAGGCTGGCGCTCGACACTGTGAGATGGGCCCTGGCGAGAGCCTCAAGACACTCGACGGCAAGCTCCTCACGTAGCGAGAAGACGCCTGAAGTAATTGATTTGACTCAGCCATTCAGGTGCACTAAAAATCTCTCGACTGTGAGATGTTTATGGTGTGCAATTTGTAAAAGGGTGGATTTTACAATAAGCAGATTTCACTCATACCACGTGTCTGGCTGCTATTGGTCCACATGTAATATAAGTACAAGGATAGAATATTTTATGAATATCCAATCCTTATGCCCCGGATGGGGAGCAATGATCCATGCTATGTGCCAAATGGAGCTATTCATGGCTCATAAACCCATTCATCCCATGCATTCAAGCAAGTTGTTAATGTTACAAACCAAATGGACAATCAACCAAATTGTGTACTATACTACCTTATCTAGAGCATTATGTTCTCACTTCTTGCTCTTATTGCTCATGGCAATAGCTCCATTGCAAAGCCGTGGATATATACCATTTAGAGTCATGTCTCTAATGCATCTTATTGGCACAATTTTCAATTATTTTACTCTATTGTAGAAAAAATTTTAAGCAACTCTATAAGAGTAAAAGGAGTGGAACTACTTCCCTCTAGAAAGGGGGGTGGAAGCACACCATAGCCTTTAAGGTTTTCACCATCATTGTCATATGTTAACATTGGCTTATTTACATTTAAAAATCAAAAAATAAAGAAAATATTCATTTGTGTAATGCATCTTACCAGTCGTATGGCTTAGAGCCACTATCTCCAGTGACAAGGATGTCTCTGGAGATTCTTGGTGTGATTCATCCCCACCATCACTTTGTTCTTCAATTTTGGTGATATCCATATTATCTTATACGAGGAGAGTTTCTTCTGGCAATGGAAGAATATCCTCATCCGTAGAGTTTTCTTTTTCATTATTCTTGTCGTGGTTTGGTTTTTGCATGGCTGGCCTTGGGAGAAATGACTCTATCACTAAGGGATCATCATTTGCAGTTAAGGCATTTATATCAATTACAATTGCAAAGACCACAACTTATATTTGTGAAGAGGGGATATAAAAAAGATAATGACTTATATTCGTGAACATCTTTTAATTCTAGTGC